GCCCCTCCTTTCCAAGGCCATTTTTCAGATGCTCAACCATTTCGGCAGGCCCTAAGGGGTGTTTATCCTGCAATCCAAATGCATTGTCAACATACTGTCCTACAAACCAATGCTTAGCATATGCCTAAAGGCTCCTCTTTATGGAAACTACACCAGGCTGCAGTTTGGATTCATGCTACCTGGGGTGAAAGCTAAGCTAAAATTGACAAGGCAAAACAGAAAACTCAATCGATGGAAACCTACATGGCATGACGATGCAGCAGATCTGACAAAACTACTCTTCTTATTCATGCTAGGCTGCTTCGATGCACCTTCCACTCCAGGTGCATCACTGGAACCATTTCCATTTTCCTTGCACAGTTTTCTCCTTTTCCTTGAACATCCAGTTGACAGGTTTTTACCTGTCGGCCCATCCTCTGCATAGCTCCCCGAACAGGGGATGCTAGAGGAATACAAATTTTTCAATACATCATCAACGTTTGTGCTATTCGGTATTGATGAAAGGTCATCCATAATGCCTTGCCAGGCTGAATTAGCCCCAGTCGCCACTTCCTGTGATATTGGTGGATTTGCACTCTGCTCTTCGGCTGGCATGGCCACTGAAGAACTCTGCGCTGACTTCCGTGTAAAGGGAACGAGAACAATGAATTCACCATTGCCGGTGGCAAGGCTGCCAATCTCTGCCTCTAATCGCAGTTTAGCACCCTTCATCATGAGAAACCATGCCGTCATCAGAAAAAGCGGCAAATGCAGCAATGCCGCGGAGCGTGACAAAACCATACCAGAACGGTCACAGAGAGACGGGGGAGGGTGGAGTGGATGGCGCACCTTGAGGAAGAGATGGAAGTTGCTTGAGATCTGCGCGGGAGGGAAGGAGCCCCGGAGCGCGACCTTGAGGTCCCGGACGGAGGCGGCGGCGGCGAGCGTTACGGCAGTGGACCGCCCGTCGAGGGCTCGGACCTGGAGCTCCCTCTCCTCCTGCGCCATCGGAGCGCTGCGGGAGCCGGCGGCCGCAGCGGCTCGTACGGGAGGGAGGAGGGTGTGGGTGGGTATCCGGCCGGCGGGTTTTGGCGCGCGCCGCGAGGAGGACGATGGCGGCGGTTGCGCACTTGGGGCTGTCGTCGGTCTCCCCCTCCTAGCAGTTACAGGCCGGTGGGCGCCCCGCTTTGGGCTTCAGACGCTTCGCTGCCGCAACGTGGGCCGAGCAGGATGAGGCCGGTGCGAGGCGGTACGGGCTGTGGAGTGAGGCTGTGGAGCAGGATGAACAGAAAATCGAAATAAATTTGCCCCCAAAGAAAGTAAATCGAAATAAATTCACCTAAAAAGTAAATCAAAATAAATGGAAAAAGGAATTTTAGTATTTTAAATTTTTGTCACCAAAGATGCACAAGTTTTCTAGGTGTATGCAAAATTTCATGACCATTTGACAATGGAGGAGCTCCGGACAAAAAACAAAAAACGGCGTTTCAAGATCTTTTATTTTGGAGCAATGTTTTTTTTATCCCGGGCTCATCCGATATCAAAATCACCATGAAAATTTGATTTTCTTTTGCTATTTTCGGATTTTTTTTAGTTTAGTGTTCACCCGGGAGCATATGATCTTGTGATCAGCTATGGACTGCGCATCCTGGGGACCTTTTGATTTGTGGACAAATCATAAAAGGATACGAATACAAAAGTTTCTTATGGTGACACTATTCATTCATTTGACTCAAAAGAATGGATCAAAGAATTAGCATACAAATTTAGTTGGAATTCCATAGAGATAAAAAGGATTCTATAATCCACAAAACCTCTTTTTTTTCACATTCTATACGCGAAAAACAAAGGCAAGGCCATAACTAGCATTATATAAACATAATTTTACTACTGCACAATTTTTAGTCCTAATTTGGGCGTACTTTTTGGAATTCATGTGTTTTTCCTACTCCCATGAATCAAACATAAAAATATGCAGAATTTATGTGTTTTTCATTCCTCTATTTTTCACATACAAATCTATCATATTCATGTGTTTTGAAATCATGCAAGTTAAAGAGGCCCTAGGAGGGGGAGCTCCTGTTCATCGCTTTTAACGCCTAGCGGGCTACTGGCGTACGAACCGCTTCATTCCCAACAGCCGTGGATAGGCGATTCGGAGGCGACAAGTTTTCATCTGGCGAACACTGACAACATAACTGCTTTCGTCCCCCTCCATCTGCTGCTTCGGTGGCGGATGGAGGAGGGCTCCTATTTCTCTTCCGTGTTGTTTCAGGTAGAGTTGTTGTTTCATTCGGTAGTGCTGGGGCAATGAAGACGGTGTTGCATTGAATAAATTTGCCTTTGTTTCTTCCTCAGCACGGCGATGCTCTCCATGGCATCAATGAAGAGTCGGCTTTGTGTACTTGTCGTTCTCTCGGCACGACGAGTTTAGTCTTTTTGTTCGTGAATGGTGGCTGCTACATGTTGTGGCAACGCCAACAGCCAAGACGAATTGGTATTCCTGGAACGGGGAGATGGCTTGTAGGCGGCGTATCTGGTTCTCTTCCCCGACCTCGCCAGTATAGTGCAGTAGATTCAAGTCCAGACTAGCACGAGGACAATCCCCAACCGATGCGCCACGTCGATATGTGCCTCGTTGCTTGCAGTGAGCCTTTTCTTTGGCTCTAAAAGCCTCTTTGGCGGTGGTGCGACCCTGGATCTTGCAAAGATAGAGGCTGGGCTTCATTCTGATGAGCGTCTCGACGACTCGAAAACTTGGCGCAATCAGAATAACTCCAAGATTGCACCCTACTTGCACAACCACTGGACGTTGTTGCAACAAACACACCAAGGCGTCGTCTGAGAGGGTCACCTGCCGTCTCATTTCAGGCCGCGGAGCATCAATCCAGTCTACAAACAGTACTGCCCCGAGAACAAGGACCACAAGGTCACGTGTGAAAGGTAGAAGACAAAAGAGACAATCTCATGCCAGTCGAAGAAGTTTGACACCAGGATCAAAGCATGCCAAAAGCCACAGACGCGTATCAACTAATAGGCATCCGAGCTCTCCAATAACGACCCCAAGAATGTGATGACACAACATGACACGACGGCAAGTCCCAAAAGAACATACTAGGATTTTCAGCCAAGCCCAAAATAACATGGTAGGGTTTTCACCCGGAGCCCCTGACAACAAGTAGGAGACCCACAATATTCACTCCAACCTTCCTTCTTTTTTTTCCCAGATTCAATTTTGAAATACACCTTTTTCATTTTGCATTTCCTAACTTCCAATTTATTCGAGCTAAACTCGTATTTATAACCCTACTCGAACGTGTCATCATTCTCACTCTTGTATTCAACTAAGACAGCAACTACTCCCTGTTTTTAAGGAAGAAAAACTAATCATGATGAGGTTGGGGTCTGCTCCTTGGCGGCCACGGCAAGGTAGTACCACTTCGCTTTCGACATTCAAAGTCAAAATTTGATCCATCGTTAATGAAGTGAACAAAAGGCACATGCGTGATGCAACGTGCCAACATTCACAGATATATATTCTCCCCCAAACCAGTGGAAGTGTCAGCCTGCTCTCACTTGATTGAGCACACTACACTTTTCTGCTCGCGCGCGACGCGGCGTGCGGACAGTCAGTCTGTTTCCATCTCCAATGGCCGCCATGGCCACCAACACTTCCGGCCCTGTTCCGTTCACGGACGTGGACGACGGCACGGTGCCGAAGCGCCCAGCCAAGGAGGAGTTCGGGGACCTCGTCGCAGCGCTGCCGCGCAAGCATCAGGCCGGCCTGGAGCTGCGCCTGTACCAGGGATTCTGGCTGCCGGACCACTGGGTCGCGGGCACCGTGGTCTTCCAGCGCCGCTTCGCCCCGCGCCCCGACGACGTGATCCTGGCCAGCTACCCCAAGTGCGGCACCACGTGGCTCAAGGCGCTGGCGTTCGCCACCATGACGCGCGACGCGTACCCGGCGCCGGCGCAGCACCCGCTGCTCCGCCTCAACCCGCACGACTGCGTCCCGTTCCTGGACGAGATCTTCGCGGACGGGCAGGAGGCCAAGCTGGAGAGGCTCCCGTCGCCGCGCCTCATGAACACGCACATGCCGCACACCCTGCTCCCCGAGTCGGTCATCGCCGGGTGCAAGGTGGCGTACGTCTGCAGGGACCCCAAGGACATGGTGGTGTCGCTGTGGCACTTCCTCCGGCGCCGGCAGCCGGAGCTCCCGTTCGCGGAGCTGTTCGAGCACGTGTGCGACGGCGCCGTGGCCGTCGGCCCGATCTGGGACCACGTGCTCAGCTACTGGCGCGCGAGCCTCGCGCGGCCCGACAGGGTGCTCTTCCTCAGGTACGAGGACCTGCTGCTGGACACGGGGAAGCACGTCAGGCGGCTGGCGGAGTTCATGGGGCGGCCGTTCTCGCCCGCCGACGAGGGCGCCGTGGAGGCGGTGGTGGAGCTGTGCAGCTTCGAGAAGATGAAGGTGCTGGAGGTGAACAAGAAGGGCTCGGCGGGGGCGTACCACGCCATGCCCCGGGACTCTTTCTTCAGGAAAGGGGTCGCCGGCGACTGGGTGAACCACATGACGCCGGAGATGGCGACGCGGCTGGATGAGGTCGTCCGTGACAAGTTTCGCGGCACGGGGCTCGCGGCTCCGTGATCGGGACAATCTGCATGCGTGATTCGATTGTACTGTATGCTTGGCTGCTGGCGCACGTTTGATTTAGAATAAAGAGATGCTGTTCTCGGCACAATCACTGCATACATCATCGAATAAAGGTTTTAACTATGATTGTCGATTGCAACATTTTGACAATAAGTGACAAGTTTGTTTCGTTCACCGAACTTGTCAGCATCAAACGATTATTGGTGCACAAGCCCGACGGTTTAGTTCAGTAGAATCAGTACTGCAGTAGCGGACGACTGATGCATTGGACAGACATCTACATAACTGCTGGTATACTCCACTGGATGCTACTAGTACGCTGAAGATCACCGTTGCAACAGCTTGTGAAAGCAGGCGATCGCCTCGCTCACGGAGCGAAAGCGGCGGCGGCCACCGCGGCGCCGGCGGTGCGGAGGAGGTAGTAGTAGCGCTGCGGGTTGGCCTCGAACGCCAGGCGGGATATCAGCAGGCCGCCGGATCCAGGTGCTTTCATCATGGCCACGGCCGCCGACGCCGGCCAGAAGAACATGTACGCGCCCACGGCGATCACCGCCGCCGCGGCTGCCCCGAAGATGAAGCCCGCCGGAACCGCCATCAGTCGCGCTCGGTACGAGTTTTTTTTTGTCTTGGTGTATGGCAGAAGGAAGGGGAGAAACGGGTGGTGAGATGGGGTGGATTAACACAGAGCTTGAGGAGCATTATATATTGTGCTGCCGCGCCGGTGCATTTTCTGCATTCTTGGGACTGGGAGAGCTTGAGCTGGGAAGGCGAGAAGACCCGGTAGCTAGTCTGCAGAGTACGAGGCGGCTCTGTTGCAATTCCAAGACTAGCATAGCAAGTGCAATTTACAAGACGGAATGCAAACAGGCGCCCTGTCATACTCCGAGTATTGTTCCGTGGACAGCCGTTTCGCATTCCATGGTCACTTCAGAGAATGGTTAACTATCGTCAACTGCTGGCTACATGGTACTTCCTCCTTTCCGGTTTATAAGGCTCAATTTAAAAATCTCACCAACTAAGATAAATGATGAGTGGTGCAATATTTTTTATAGTTTGCTTATCCAATTAATGCTCTTGTTTTTCTCAACAAAATATATTTACGAATGCATTAATTACAATGCATGCATGCATAAATTGCATGCATTGCTCAGTTTTCTCTTAATACTTGCGTGCAATGATTTAATGCATCTTGAAATCTGAACATATGATGGGGAACAACCAAATTGAGCCTTATAAAATGGAAAAACTAAAATTTTGAAATAAACTCTATAAACCGGAAAGGAGGGAGTAGCTGCCATGCCACTTATGTACACTCCTTTTTACAGGATCATATATGCAGGTTGTCTCGAACTCAAGTGGCACAAGAGATGGTACGGAGTAGTACCTACACGTTCAGTTTTGCTAAGTCTCAGTCGACTTAGATTTCGTTATGTCTCAGTCGATGTTATATTCCTTTGATCCTGCATGAAGATTCGTACATAAATTTTCTTTTAGTTTTTTTTTTCTTACACTATATCAGTTGACTGAGACTTGGTTAAGTCTCAGTCGACTGAAATCTATCCACACCCTTACACGTTAGTATCATGCATATAATATATAGCCGTATATGGTGGTAACATCATAGCTTAATATTTTTTCGATATCAAAATAGTTGAAGTTTTAGAATTGTCCTAAGTCGAAATATTTAAAGTCTGGCCAAGTTTAATAAAAAATGTAAGAAAAAAATCTACAATGTCAAATATTATATATAGTATG